TCAGAATCACCTGGAATCGCTTGCCGACATTAAGGGTTTCATTTTATCGTTCATAGCACATTTAGACGGTTATTAATGTAGGTATGTACGAATATTGGCACAAACTCATCCAAATAAAATCGCAATAAAATATTCCATCTCTTCGGTATGTGAATCAGAACATTCATGAATTTTCATGAAATTTTTGCCAAGACTTTACTTTGTTATAGGGATGTTTATCAAAATTTTCACTATATATTTCTGCCTTAAATGAGTTTGTTTTAGGGAAGAACAAAAATGTTAAACATTTTCTTAGTCTCATCTTCCCAGATTAATTACTCAGTATATCCACAGCGATCTTTTTTACTTGTTTCAGTATGGCTTTCTTCCTCATTTTGTCTAATTACTTCGTCTATTGTGGCTAAGGCATCATCAGAAGACTTCCTGTGTTTGGTAGAAGTACGTGGTAAGCCTAAATCCATTACTATACGAATATTCAAACTATTATTCTTTTTAGAGACGTTGTAGTTAGGTTGTTCAGTTTCGAAACTCATCATTTAATATGTTTTAGCATAACATACACATGATTGAAATGATAGATCAAGAAATTGCAGTTCAACTTTAAGTTTTCTTAAATGAACCAGTTTCAGTATTGTCTAAGAAAAATGATTTGTATGTCAATGAATGTGAGATGTCATATATTTATATAATATGGATTTAGAACTTTTTGGGATATTTTGATTGTGTATATTTTTATTATTTTTGTTGGTTTAAGTAACACCATTCTTATTTATTTACTTATTAACGAAGTTTGTTTGCATTAGAGTGTATTGTAATCGCAAAAACGGAGTTTATTACAAAGCGAATTCCTCTCATTCTTATTTACACTTTTAAATTGAATGACTTATGTTTTTTTTTAATTTAGTTTAAGTGGTTTATAAAACTGTAGGACAATGAATTCTATTATTACCTGTACTATCAAAAATTTTTGAAAAACTATTAATAAATCAATTAATCAAATAACAACAAATAATAAATAAATAATATTTTTAATAAACAACAATTTGGTTTTAGAAAGGGAAAGTCCACCGCAACAGCTATACAAAGCTTTATTGAGGATGTAATCGATGGTTTCGAGACTTCAAAATACACCAAAGCAAGTTTTTTAGATCTCACAAAAGCTTTTGATTGTGTATCTCATTCAATTTTGATTCGTAAATTGTATGCGTATAATGTCGCCCCAGAGGCATGTAAACTTTTGTCATCCTATCTTACAAATAGAAAACAATTTGTTAAATTTAACTCTTTGGTATCTAACCCTGGGATTATTGATAGTGGGGTTCCCCAGGGGTCAATCTTGGGCTCTATCTTATTTTTAATATATATAAATGACTTGCCTTAATTTTTGAATCCTGAAAAATCAATTTTGTATGCAGACCACACAAATTTGTTAAATCAACTTTCCTCTAAAGCAAAAGCTACCGAAAATAATAATTTAATGTTCATTTAGACTAGACATTGGTTTACAAGTAATCAGCTAACGTTGAATAATGATAAAACAGTATCAATGACCTTTTCACTAAAGCACACAGATAAAAGTTTGTATTCTGATGATAGTTTCAGATTTCTTGACGTGCATGTTGACCGCGGACTTACCTGGAGTTTTCATGGCGAGTTTTCATCTGTTAAGACGTCTTTCTGAATTTTCTTCTACGGAGGTATTGCGCGCCGCTTATTTTACGCTTTTTCAGACTCATCTTGGTTACGGACTACTTGCCTGGGGACACGCCGCGATTAATAAAAGAATATTTAATATACAAAGATGAGCCATTAGAAATATCGCCAAATTAAACTATACTGAAGACTGCCGCTCTTCTTTTATCAATTTAAAAATTTTGACACTGCCTTCATGAATTCTTCATTGAATGTTTGAAATTTACAATGTTACTTCATTGTCAACTAAAAAAAAGGTGATTTTCACAATTACAAAATTATTATGGGAGTGACATCCGACATGATGCATTGAGACTGACCAGATCTAAGAACGCCTATAATTATTATGGAGTAAATGTTTTTAATAGTCTGCCTGGTAGTTATAGGAATTTAACATTTACAGTTTTTGTAACTAGGATTAAGGATGTTTTACTGCGTTTTATTACGCTATTGAAGAATTGTCGAATGATTTACAGACAGGAATGTGTTTAGTATAAGAACAGATTAACTTTTTTTCCCTGCCACTACTGTTCTGACACGGATTATTATGACTGTGTATTTGTTTTTATGTAAGGTAAAAGCATCAGTAGTTGACACTTTAAGGATGTATTAGTCTGTTTCTTGGACAGTGGTTGGACTGAATTCACTTTAGGGAAAACTTCTAATTAGTGATAGCTGCACAAACTATTCCTCTATTATAATGTGACAAGAATTAGATTAATAAAATCACTATGAATTTTTTGTGCCACACAAAAAACGCCCCAACCTGTAACTCTGTTATTTACATTCCGATTTTCATGAGCGAAATATCAAATGAAAAGGTTTGATGAATACTATGATACATGCTACAAATAAACTTTTTCCAACGCCATCTTTAATTTCAAACGATTATCAACTTTTGATATTCAAATTGCTTGGTATGTTTTTCTTCACGCTATTGTATAGAGATTCTTTTTCTGAATCCATTAATGTACAACACATCAACATTAATTGTAATTGTAGCATAGAAAAACATTAAAATAGTTTCCTAAAAAATTTATTTGTAGCATGAATCATAGCATTCATCAAACCATCTCATTTGATACTTCGCTCATGGAGATCAGAATATAAATGACAAAGTTACAGCTTGGGATGTTTTTTGTGTGACACCCTGTATATAAGTATATATAAAAGACACTGGGCCAGTAGTTGATACCAAGCAAAAACGAGAATATCTAGTAGTTGACACTCTTTGTTTTCAGTAGTTGACATATGCTTTAAAATAAAAACTGGTTTTATCGGTAGGACCAGGTGCATCTAGCAAACTACTTTCTATTTCTTGTTTTGTGTTCTGCCACAGTTGAAAGAATGGTATATCTTTTTCATCCAACTCTTTATTTCGATTGCCGTTACGAAATATATTGAGCTTGCTTTCAGCAATACTCTGATTGAGAAACCGAAGCCCTTCTTTCAAAACTCGCCTGCGTTCTTCGCCTTTTGTGCCTGAATTATCGCCTTTGGTGTTAAACGGGAGAGTGATAGCGTCTGGGTTGGGTTGGATAAACTATTAGAGTTACATTGTAACTCTAATAGTTGACACCCCCTGTCAACTATTGGACACTATGGTTTTAAAATGTTTTAGAAGTTATAATAGAAGGTTTCGCTCTGTAAACAGCTAGATAACACCCAAATAAAGCAATATTATAAAATTATATTACTACCCACAAGTTGACACCCCCATGTTAATTACTCAATATTATGTCATATAAAGTTTCAATAGTTGACACGATGCCTAATAAAGTCATTTTTTATTTTAGGGCATTTTCAAAAAATGAATACATATTTTAGAGTCAAAAACGAACAACTAAATGTATTTTTAATCAAAATTATAATAGTATATTAAAAAACAAGTTTCGTAAGACACGCTTGAAATGCACGAATTCAAGTTGAAAAACGAATGGCGAAGCCACGAGTTTTTTAATGAATGAGTGCTTTAAGTCTTATGAAACGTGTTTTTTATGCTATTTTTTGTAATTCGCGTTTTTATACTTTTTTTTAACAAAAATAAAGTAAATTTTGGCAATGTAGGGAAATAGGTATGTAGCAGTTGGTAACACCGGAACACTTGAAAATAGAAACTTTGAATTGACAATTAGAAACTGTCAAAACACAAAATATATTCACCTGAAAAAAATGTTTGATGTACACCTCCCAAAATAAGAGAAATTGCTCAGAGTCAATGTCCTCATCATTGTGGACCTTGTATTCGATGCTAAGAACGTGTTTAAACATCCATAGACAAAAATTGACAACTAGAAAAATTAATGACCCAATGTCACCAACTTGAACTGGTTCCATAAAATGTCGGATGCTGTAAGGAGTCTCATTACAGCACCCGTTTGAGTACTGTTATAGCTTTCATTACCGTAGCGAATTACAAACAATAATGTTACGTTACATTTGCAACGCTTATCTTTCAGCTTATTCTTAGCAAACTTCACAAGCATATTACAATAATCGAATGAAAACCATGCACTCGTTGTAATCAGATGATCACTATGTCACTGGCGTTGTACTTAATGGCATGATAGTCTGTATTTACGTCGCTAGAGAACTATGCTACATAGACGAACATATTTCGATATTTTGCCGCCTGTGTTTCTCTTGTTAATTTATTTTTTCTTTATAAGTGTCAATTACTAGTGCAGTGTCAACTACTGGTGCTTTTACCTTAAATGTTACGTGTAATATTTTATATATTCACGAATATGCCTTCGGGTTATTAGCATAATAAAGATTATTATTATTATTATGTTTAAACCAACATTCTCAACGCCAGGTTAATATGTCTGCTCTATACCATTATTTGACCCCGTGGGACTAGTTAAGGGTTGATAAAGTTGACTTGACTTGATTAGTTGGTGAACCACTGAGTTATAATTATTTTAATGTTCTCTTTGTACTTGTAACATCTCTTCATTCGTGTACTTTTCTCTTTTTAATAAAATTTTTTATTTCAATTATTATTTGCCAAACTATGTATTAGAGTTTTTATCAATAAATAAACTTTCTATTACAATTTTTTTGATAATTCTTTCCCTCGACATTTATTTGAATTACCTAAAATTCATGTATTTCTGCATATTAACTTTTTATATGGCCGTTTATTTATGTACTTGTAGGGTGTTAAACATTTCTAACACCTTGTATAATATTTTTAATAACTTCCTTTTTTATAAATTGTCATTTAATGTTTATCATAGAAGGCAGTTTATACGCAGCCCTCTCTATTTTTTTTCTTGTATCTGGCGCATGGCGAATGCGCGTCATAAAATCGGGGATAAAACGGGGGCGGCGGCTGTTTTGGGGCCCATTCTCGGTCCTCGGTCGACGAAAGGATCAGATCGTGCGGGGCAGACAAGTTGGGGGCGTCGCGTCGTTGTCATCGTCGTGGAGGTTTTTCCGGACGGGCGAAACACCTAAGACCTAAGTAGTAGGCCGCCGGCGGAATCAATAAATTATTTTCGCGACGTCCGACCGAGCCTGCCCGTTGTGCGCAAGCGTGCCACGGCCGATATGTCAACTAATGGTAATTTAGTTCAATGGTCATTCCCGTGTTGTTAAGTCGTATTTGATGTGTCGCGAAAATGGTGATCCCCAAACGCGAACGGAACGAAAATAGCAGGATATACGCCTCCACGAACCATGACCGACTCGTCTGAGGAGTGAGTACGCCACGTAAATTTTTGTTAACACCCATTTTGAACGTTCACCAACAGAGGCAGTGTGTCCCCCCTAGATCCACCATTTTTAAACGAACCCCCGGTTGTTTTTGCCCCACAAATAACATCCCTTATTTCGTTCGTTCCAAATAAATCATTAAAACAATCGCTAAAACTTAGTAATCCAACGATTTCTTGATTTTATAAATGCGGTATTCTGTCAATTTCAACCTGTCATACTTGTATCATTCATTCTAACTAATCAATGAGATCCCCATTCATGCTCCGTCCAGTTTATGAATGTTTTGTTCCGTTTACGTTTTGCATTCGATGTTCAATTGAGTAGGAAGGTGTTTGTAATTACTTCATTATCCTATTTTAACGAATACTTAATAACCTCGTTTTGTTTATTATTGTTTTTTGTTACGTTTCGCGGTAACCTGTTATTACATCCAGTCGTTGGGACGTGTTATTTGTTCGTTGTACGTAAACCATTCGTATTTTTATTATTAACCCGTTCACGGTTGCATAAGAATCCATGAACGGAATGTAATTAATGCAACCGTTTCATTCATAACCTAAAAATACGATCCCGTTTCATCTCTCGTTTGATGACAACGGCTGTTCTTATCGTATCGAAAAGTTCATTGTCGCACACCTATAAATATTCGGTTTTATTTCGTTATCTAACGATTAATTTCATTCATTGTTAACTTCCGTTATCAATTAGACTTTAATTCAACATTTTTAACAAGTCATGCTTTTTTGATTTAATCAATTTTATTTATACTCGAACACAATATTAATTGTATAATTTTTAAATTGCTTTTTAATATTGTTTTGGTAATACTTATAAAACGATTTTTATTATAATATATACAGGTGTCTACAAATTCCGTCAACATAGCTGTCACGTACAGTTGCTCACAAAATTGAGTGTACAGGGGAATGGAAGATAGATAATTGCGAATATTTCAAACAATTATTAAATTATTTGTGATGTATATATATTAACAACAATGTTATTAACTAAATTGAATCCAAAATAATTCACTTTTCCAAATTCACAATATTAATAATAATAACACATGATACGAAATTCATGCCATAAAATTGAGTATACAGTTAAGCAAAAGTGATTAAGTTTAGGTTGGTATTATGTTTTAAATTAAAACATCATATGATATTAATCACCTGATTTAAAACACGATTTTAATCAATGATTTAAATCAAGTATTTTTTTATATTAATCTTTACAGGGTGTTTCATAATATATGCGCAGGAGTTCAGGATGTGATAGTTTGTCCCAAAATTTGAAAAATAATTTCTATCAATTTACCCTCTAAAATGCACCATTTTCGAGATACAGGGTGTTGAAATTTAATAAAAAAAATCGTTTTTTTGCGAATATCTCCGAAAGCGTTTATCGTAAAAAAATTTTTTTAAAGTCTTAATTGGTAAATTTTTTGAAGGTGTGGTGGTTATTTTTCTCCCCAACTTCTACGCCACTAGAAAAAGTACGGTTTTGAGATGCCCATTTGAACCGTCAATGTTTTCTACACAAAAAAGGTTCTGAAGGTTTTCGAGAAAACTCAACTTTTATGTTGAATAACATGCTCAATTATTTTAAATAAAAATTTTATTTTACTAAAACGTTAGAACAAGGAACAAAAGCAAACGTTAAATTGCATAATTAAAAAAAAAACAATTACAAATCATACACTAAATGTTGGAAATGTCAATTCTTCGACGCATTAACTGTCTAACACACAGAAAAATTCCCGGAGTGTTCCGAATTTTGTCGCAAGATACAACAATGCGCTCTCTTAATTGATCAACATTTTCAACTGGAGTAGCGTAGACTAGGGTTTTCAAATGGCCCCAAAAGAAAAAATCTAAACAATTAAGTTCGAGAGATCGCGGTGGCTAAGGGTGCGGACCTTCTCGACCGATCCAACGATCTGGGTATTCGTCGTCCAAGTATTGGCGAGCAACCAAACTAAAGTGGGCCGGAGCTCCATCATGCATAAAGTACATGTTTTGTCTTACTTGAAGCGGTACATCTTCCAGCAGTTCCGGCAGTACTTCTTCTAAAAATTGTTGATAATCTGCACCGTTTAATCTGTTCGGTAAAAAATGTGGGCCTATCAAATGATCACCGACGATGGCAGCCCAAACATTTACGGAAAATTGTTGCTGATGATGGCCTTCTGCAATTTCATGTGGATTTTCTTCTGCCCATATGTGGTTATTGTGAAAATTGAAAATACCATCCTTCGAGAAAGAGGCTCCAAACTCGGGATTTTGAGCTATTTTGCCTTGCATCCATGTACTATAAAAAGATAATCTTAACGAAAAATCTCTTGGCAATAAGGCTTGTACTCTTTGAATATGGTAGGGATACAAAAGTTGCCTTTTCAAAATTCTCCAAACCGTCCAGTGAGATAGGTTTAAGTTGTGAGCAATTTTTCTGGTACTTGTGGTCGGATTTTCATCAATTCTTGGGGATTTTCATCTTCCATAGGCCGCCCATTATCAGCAGTATTCCTTTTAAAACTTCCATTTTCACATAGTCGTTGGTGAATGCGTAGAAACAAGTTATGGTGTGGTACTGGGCGATCAGGATGTCTTTCTTGATACAACCTCCTTGCTTCTGCCGAATTACCGCACGTCATTCCGTAAAGGTAATGCATTTCGCACATTTCAGTGTTTGTGTAATTCATTTTTAATTTTGTAATACAAGTTTACTGATTGTTATTTTGACAGGAGGTACCTTTTGTTATAAAATTTAAAACCTACTTGTTAAAAATAAATTATAAAATTTTTTACACAAACGCTGAAATTTGCGAAATGGTAACGCATTTCGGCATTATTTTACGGTTTGGAGAATTTTAAAAAGACAACTTTTGTATAATTTTTTCATTTGTTTTTATTTTGCAATTATGAAGTTAACGCCTGCTTTTGTTACTTGTTCTAACGTTTACATAAATTTTGTTTAATTGTAAAATAAAATCTTTATTTAAAAAAATTGTTTTCAAAAGTGATCTTGAATGATTTCTCATGATATTTCTAAATTTAGTCTTTCTAAAACAACCCATATTGAGAATATTTAAGAGAATGTTTGAAAATTTCTTAACTTTGAAGGCCCATATCTTAGCCATTTATGGGTTTAAATCAAAACATTTTTACACGAATCGTCATCAATTTCAGTCTAGTATTTGTAATTAAAATTATGCCACAACTGACAGAAATACCCTGTATAAATAAAAACAAAAAGAAAACGATACTCAGGAATTATGAAGTTTATATAAATATACAAATTTCCACTCCTCATTTGTTGCACACATTGAAGTGGGCAAGCCCAAATGTTGTGAACACCCCTCTCTATTGAAGCTGCAGAACAAACAACATAAAAATTGTTTTAAGGTTGGAAGAAGTTTCTCAATATCAGGAAGGTTCTTTTGTGAAATCCACCACTGCAAAGCAGTGGCAATGGATATATATATAACTTCCTTGCAGAAAATGGTTCAATTTTCGCCTCCAGCTTAACAATTAGTGGATAGCTAGGATTAGCTATAATCTAGTGTTATACATCGTTGGCGTCTCTAGGTGGTCTGAAACAAGATCAATCTCGGATACTAGGCTTGCAAAATGCCGGAAACTTCAAACTAATAACTTTTCATTCAGTTCGCCAGAACCTCGTTTATTAATATAGATGTTCTACAACACATAATACATTAACTCTGACCATTTCAGACCTTGTATTTCTTCACTTTGACATTCGGAGCATTGGGCAGAAATTACATTGGCTCAATACTAGTGTAACAATGACAACAGAAAATCATAAGATTGTGTTTGAGAATTTCCATGGGAAAGGCAAGATTTGCAAAAAATCTTGTATTCTAGTGTTACCTAATGTTATATCTGAAAAACGCCAGGTTCTAATTATTAACAGACCGACTTCATCAGAATATGAATAGGTTTCTTGCGGCCGTGTATCAGTGATTAACATCATATCAACCTGAAACTGGTCATCATATTATAACGCCTCGGCTACAAGCGGCCTCGGCTTTATCAAATAAAGTTATAGACCTTTTGATTAATTAAGTCGAGATCGCTTGTAGCCGAGACACAAGGATTAATATCATATCGACCTGAAATCGATCACCACATTGTGACGCCTCGCCCGCAAGCGACCTCGCCTTTAACTACAATAGAAAATGTGTGATTTTTTGTATGAAAAATGGTAAAAATCAAAGTCTATCAAACAAAAATTGACACACTCAGCAAATTGACAATAATGTTCAAGTTGTATTATTTAATTCTGTTAATTTCCATTATTTGTTAATGCACTTATTAATGTTTTTGTTATTTTCTAAGAAATTCTTTCTAATTTTCTTATTATTATTAATAAAATATTTACTAGATTACAGCAACCATTAAAAATTTATATTGAAAAGAATAGAGCTTTTTGCAGTAAAAAACATAGTTTTTTAAGGTATCAAAACTTTTGGAAACTTCTCAACCTACTAAAAAATCATAAATGTGGCATCCTTCAAGCGCGCTGCATAATTAAAATTGGTTGAGGCATTTTAATCAAATTCTGAAAAATGTAATCTTTTTGTTTAATTTTAAACTGCAACAGCTGTTAAACGAAGCAACTTGGTATACTAGTGGACTTATTTAGTCCCATATACTAACGGTTTTTGCATGATTCCTCGAATGATGTCATATAAAGAGCTAATTCCTTCATTCCACTTTATTTCACTGGATTTATAAATTAAAAATTCTTTAAATTCATTCTATTGTAATCTCACAAAAATAATCGTACAGTATCAAATATTATAATCGACAACTCTGTATAGTACAAGTACTTTGTTGGTTTTACATTACAGAAGATTTTCCATTACATCCCAAGAAGAATAAAGCAGTTGAAAGCAATTAGCTTTTTGAAACAATTAGATCTTCCAACAAAACCAAAACATACAGGTTATTAAGTTCGC